CGACAGGGTTTCTCTGTAGCTTTGGAGCCTGTCCTGGAACTAGCTCTTGTAGACCAGGCTGGCTTCGAACTCACAGAGATCCGCCTGCCTCTGCCTCCCTAATGCTGGGATTAAAGGCGTGCGCCACCACCACCCGGCTGTCCTTTTTTCTTTACTTAAATATTGTAGTCTTACAAATTAACTGGGGGGGGGGGGGGACACAGGACAGCAAGCAGGGATGTTACATAGACGAACAAAAGAATCAAGTACAGATCACTTGGTTCTTAAAACTATGCTTCCTTTGTTATCCCTTACTGGGGAAAACAGAAACTACAAAGCCTGTAGAAAAGTAAGTCAGTCAGAGAATGGAGCAGTTAAGAACTCTGGCTGCTCTTGCAGAGGACCTGAGTTCAGTTCCCGGCATCCACATGGCAACTTTACAACCGGCTGTAACTCTAGTGCCAACAGAGTTGATGCCCTCTTCTGGCCTCCACGGGCACTGCATGCATGTGGTGTGCACATTCATACACTTGAACTAAAAATCAATCTTTTAAGAAAAATTGTTAATCCTATAAATTTCAGAGAAGCCACTTTATAATCTTCAACCCTAAACTAGGGCATATCTGGCTGGGGTAAGTCTCAGAATAGATTTTATTTCTGAATCGTCTCTCTCACACACACACATGGAATCACCATGAAGGTGGGATCTTTGTTTCAATAACAATAATCTATAGCATTTAAAATAAGTTCTAAGTGAGTATTAGAGTAGCCCCCCCATTCCTTTAATAACCTTAATAATCTTGCCTCTCAGCCACTCTGTGGGCTTCTCAATGAGGTGCGTCAGGGACTCTGTACTGACATCCGTCTATTATGTAATAACTGCATGCCTTCATCCCAGCACTCTGCCTTGACATATGTTGGTAGGGGAGATCAATGCTCGGTTTAACTTAAGCAATGCTATTCCAGGTGAGTTCTGCAAGGAGTTCCCACGAAACCGTAAATCATTAACTGCTTCATTCATCCGCAGAGTCCTGCTACGAAATGCTTCCAGTACAGTCGATTTACACTTTGGCACAAGTTCTTTATGTCCTCGCTGGGACCAGCGACAAATTGAGAACAGCAGCTCATACTTTGAATATCATGAAACTAAAGGAGAGCTGAAACACTCACGCCCTAGTGTGGGAGAGGCGTTTTTTACATTAAACATTGCTCTGCCTATATCAAATCAATTTTCCCACTGACAGGAGAGACCACAAGTACACAGGGGTTAAGAAAATTAAAGGGAGGATGGGAGATGGCTCAGTGGGTAAAGGCACCTGCTACCCAGCCAGACAAGCTGAGGTACAGTGCCAGGATCCACGTCATGAAAGGAGAGAACTAACTCCCCGGAGTTACCCTCCGCCCTTCATACATGCATCATGGCACATGCACACACACAAAAAAAAATGGAACCTACACACCCCCCCCAAAAAAATTAACTTTTAAAAAGCAAGAGATGAAAGACAAGGAAAGGAAAAGAGGTGCCAAGGCAACAATTTTGCACACAGGAATTTGAAGTCACACCTTTGCCCCTAAAGTTAGCTATGGTTACAGATTGCCGCCCAAGTTCCAGGCAGCAGCCATAGAGTTATGAGGCATGGTTAAGTCCGTGAAAGTCAGTAACAGTGGGTAGCAGGCCTTAGTTTCAGAAATTCTGTAGTCCCAATTGTCTGTCATTTCCCTTAGATTAACCACGTGGACAAACTCAGAGTTTCCATCTCACAGCACAATATCACTTAAAATCCAATATACAATCAAGAATCAGGGGGAAAAACCACAAGGTTTTGAAGCTCTAGACTAACATTTCCATGAACCAATGATCCACAAATAAATACTATGTGGGCCACAAATAAATACTATGTGTGTTCATTTACAAATAAATACTATGTTTAAGTCTTTGCTAAAAGATACATAGTATCTCTTCAGGCATGCCTGGGCTGCCTACTTCTCTCCTTAAAGAGGAATCTTTCCTATTCCAAATAAAAGAGAAACATGCAAACCAAAATCCACAGGGACTAAGGAACTGCTGCCCGTCCATGGTTAAGGGGCCCTGCCACATACCACCCAAAAATGATAGGTCATGGTTGAAAGTTCTTTTTAAAAAGAGGCAACGTATGTCTTTTAAGAATTCACAACTTGTCAGGCAGTGATGGCACGTGCCTTTAATCCCAGCACTTGGGAGGCAGAGGCAGGCGAATCTCTGTGAGTTCCAGGCCAGCCTGGTCTACAAGAGCTAGCTTCAGGACAGCTGGGGCTGTTACACAGAGAAACCCTATCTTGAAAAACCAAAATAAATAAATAAATAAATCACATCTCTACACCTCATCTCCCATCAAATAACACTAGAATCTCTGCCCCCATCCAAGCTGATTTCTCTGTACAAGCCACCGCCTCTGACACTTCTACCATCATTCCTTCAATCTGCAATCACACTTCAGTTCAACAATTTAAAAACCTGATCCCTTCTTTCCCAGCTCCTACCAATTGATGCCTTATTCCCTGCCTTTACTCCTTTTTCTTCCAATTCTGCAGCCTATAGATTTGCTCCAAATAATTGTGATTTTCCCAGTTTACTGCCTCTTCCTGGTCTTGCGATTTATTTCTCACAGCTGGATTATAAATGTCTATAAATCGGCATTATGCATACACGGTTTTTGAGCAGGGCTTGCAAAGGTTATTGCTCTACAGTCAACGTGACACATTCATCAATGACAATCATATTGGTTTCAAGAAGAGCAGAAGTTCTTTCAACCCCATATGCAGCTTTGTCGATGTGTATAAATTGGAATTCTGTAAGTAGAAGCAATTCTGTCCTTACACATACTTAGTATGTTGTTAGCCATATGCCTGATATCCGTGTTTACACATCATAAACACTTAATAAATGTTTTATTTGGCTGACAAGAAATTTTATAATGCTTTAAAAGAGAAACGATAAAAACACATCTTAAAAATCACAAGCTTCACCTTCGAGTGTAACATTCTGCATTCCAACAACTCCATACTTAGGAACGGGGATTAAGAAAATTATCTTGAATATAAATACATGACATAAATACACATAAAAATATGCAAAAGCCGTTTTCCATAGCACCTGGATATCCAGCGATGATTAACAAAATTATATGCACCAAAAGGCTGTGATACAACACAATTGCAGCTATACAAACACAGACTATTATATGTAAATATGAACACTAAACATGTGCTATTCTAAAAAGTCCCAATCTTTCACTCAAATAGTAAGGAACATTCAAACTGCCCATAGGTTGTAACAAATGTAAATGAGTATGTCTGTACTATCTGTATTTTAGGTTCCCTCCTACATCACTGTTGAGGTGATCTCTTTATAATGAACACTGAAATCTTGATAGAGTAGCCAAACATCCCATTCAGATGTGGCTGTGATAATTCACAGCTTCAAATCCTAAGTACTCTTTCTACACTGAGCTTCCATTCCAGCTGAATGAACTAGCCACAAACCCAGAACCAAAGCTCATTGGAATCCCTGTTTTTCCTACTTATGTGTCTTAAGTAACTGATCTCAGGTCTCATCAGACGTGTTGCAAGTCTTTCTTAGTGGCATAGATCTGCGATTCAAAACCTCTGCAGTCAATGAAGCTCCTGTTGCCTGTCCTGGATTTGCTCTTTCCTTTTGAACTCACTTCTTCCAGTCCTGTTCTAGACTTAGGTGACAGCAACTGCTTCCAGTTACTCAGACCTTCTCTCTGTATAGACGCTACATCTCAAGTAAACGAAAGCACCCTACACTGCGATTTCCCCGTGACTAGAAATGCCAAACAGCTCTGAGATCATACCTCAACCTCCCAATATGACTGCCAATTACATAAGCAATATATGACCACATTAAATGCAGAAACGGATGCACTTTGCCACTACCTCCTTCAAAACACCTTCCATTTACTCTGAAGAAACTTTTGGTTGAAAGCAAGCCCCTTCAAACAGTTTCAACTTTACTTCCTTTTCCCCAGCCCCATGCCAAAGCACAGGCATCCAGGCCATATCTTATCTTTCCCTACAGAGCATCCAATCGACTTTTTATAGCCAGAAACTCTCTGAATGCTAAGCACGACCTTGGCAACCAGCTTTCCCTGGCATAGTCTGAAAGTTATTTTTAACTCTGAAATTAGCATGAAAGCCTACATTTCTCATCGCAGCTAGTCAAAACATCCCCATTTCCTATAATAATGCGATTCTCCTCCATTCAGAAGAAACCCCGCATTATAAGCCCATGACGTATAAAAGAGACTCAGGAACCCAAGGGAGAAACAGGAGGGCACGGACGCCCAGCTCTTCAGTCATAAACTGGACTCTTACCTCTCGCTGCTTCCTATAAAGAAACTGTGCTTTGAGCGTAGCTCTTGAAGGGTTTTCCAGACAGGACTCTGAGGGTAAGGGAAAGCCTCTTGCTAGTCACAGAGCTGCAGAGGACCACACGGACAGACAGTGACGGTGGGGCAGTCACTTTAGCCGAGCCCGCTACTCACCCAGGATGAGAAAGGAAGGGGAGGTTACAAGCCAGGGTGGGTGGTATCTAATCCTGGGCTCACCAGTGACCTCACTGACAACTTGTTACTGAAAATACTTTGTTGAAAAAGGCCAGACACATACTTTCCCTAGAGACCTACATACTTCTTAGGAAACTCTAAATAAGTTAGATTTGACTTTCTATCATCCTTGTACAAAATAAGGAATGTTTCCAATGAAAGCTGGTTAGAATTACTTAAAGTGAGAAACTGTGAACTGGGAAATCCTCGCCCCATTATTATTTAAAATTCAGGGCCACTGGAGCCCTGGGTCGCATCTGAAATAGCATGTTTCTGTTAAGATTTTACCATTTCACACGCCCTCCTACCGCCTACCATTCTTTCTGCTTCTTGTATGTATGAACGCCCACATAACAGTAGGAAACTAGACAGAAGAGTTATCAAAATCTCTTTAGTAGAACAATCCATCAATTTAAGGCATCAAAAAACAGGTTTATCCTTGAACGTTTTGGTTTTTCTACTTAGGAAGATATCTTTCTGTATTTCCATCCATCTGTAACATGAATTCTTACATGAACATAAGAGTTCATATACATAAACTCTAAGAGTATATATACATAGAGCCTTTTGTTCACAGAACCATATCTTAGCCTTCACCTCAACAATACTGCATCTCACTGCCTAATTCTTCATTATGCCATCACCTGAGCTTGTGTTCTGAGCCTTTAGGACATGCTTCCTCAACTAGTCATGTTTTCTTCCGGTAGTAACACACAAAATGACTTTAATGCTGCTAACTACAACACGAACTATTTGTTGGAGCTCTGGCAGTCCTGTTCTTAAGGGACTGAATTCAAAATAGAAGAAAGCATTTATTTATTGGCTCCACAGACATCTTGGAACAAATATTAGGGAACCAAGAGGGAAGTCAGGATCTGGGGATCATCAAAGAGCATCAGCTATGAAAGGGGGTTCATTTTACATGACTTCCCAGAAAGCCTGCAAAAAAAAAAAGAGCATTTTTACTGTAGCCTCCTTTAAAAGGTACATAATGGACATTTATCTAAAGAGTCCTAGTTACTAACAAAACGCCCTTCCTGGTTTGTTTTATAGCATCCTTTCTCCCAGGAAGGATCTCAGAGTGGTTTCTTTTCACAGAGAAACAAAGAGTAAGTTTTACATCCCACAATCCATCTTTTCTGGAATAAAGAGATCACTTGACACTTGCAAAGTAGCAGGTTTTGTTTTAGAGTTTTGATAATGAATGTTTTCTAAACTAGGACTACTGAACTGAGCCCAAGATAAGGTACCCAGGTTCTACTGTAAACTTGGCCTGCCTAGCAGGAAAACCACTGCGCCTTCCCTCCCTGCTCTCTAGCCCCCCCACCCCCCGTACTTCTGCAAAATAGATGTGAAAACCCCTAGTCTTTGCTTTTCAGTAGTTGTGTGATTTAAGTTGATAAAACTGGAGAGTTTAAAATTATACTTAACTCCTCAAAGATATAATGTAAACAGAACCGCATTGCAGGGTTTGGTGTTATCAAAAAACAAACAAATAAATAAACAAACAACTAAATACTATTAGTATCTGAAGTGTAATTTTATAGAGCTTTGTGGAGTATTTGGGGGTTTTTGTTGACTTGCTTAGTTTGTTGTTCCAAACAACCAGCCTTGAAGTTGGCTTGACGTTCAGTACTCTCGCCACAAGGGGTCCTCTCTAGCAAGTCAGACCACAGGCCCCACAGGCCTCTATATTTATATCTGTTTGCCGACAGAAAACGCAGATCACCTAATGTCGAATTTCCATAGCTAACTATCAGGCAGCAGTTTAACCAGAGCGATTTGGCTTTCTCTGTGTGGTCGCTGAAGCATACTGAACACGAAATAGTTCCTGTAAGCTACACAGCCCTGCGTTTTGCATCCTGGCCCCCTTCCAAACGGCCACAGTAATTCCTGCCTGTACCTCCCAGTCTCCTTCAGTATTTATGTTCCTTCCCTATTCGTATCTTTCCTTTCTTTATACTTTTCAAACTTGAAATTTTTGGCTCACGTTCCACTAACAAATAGGCAAAGCTTAGGAGCAGAAGAGAGGATAAAAAAGGGAAAATAAATCAGGGCCATTAGCAGTAATCCTCCTGAGGCAATCAAGAGTGTGGGTTTGATTTTGAGTATTGGGGCTAGGCCCCCCCCAAAAAAAAAAAGTCACTGGATTGAGTATTCTGAGAAGCCCTTATTGTGGAGATTCCGAGCCAGCTAGAAGCTTCAAGGCAAGGGAGGAAGTTCCGAAAAGAAGATAATTGCGTCCAAATCAGAAGTCCCTCTTGGAAAATAAGCCTTCCAACACACTATCAGTTCTGTACTCAGAATGGAATAATGCTTCTTTGTGTCATTCAACACTGAAGAATGAAAATAGCTCTTGCATAAATCATGAGTCTGTTTATTCTGTATGCGATACCTCCAAGTGTTGGCAGTTTGGTTAGGGCTTTTTACAAGTTTATTATTTCGGACCAGCAAGGTATCTCAGTGGGGAAAGGCACTTGCTATGCAAGCCTGACCACTTTGGTTCAATCCCAGGGTCACTTGGTGGAAGGACAAACGGTAAAAGGAGAAAACCGACTCCCAAAGGTCGTCTCTGGCTCCTCACATGCTCCTCATACACAACCATAAATAAAAAAAAAAAATTAAAAAATACAACAATGAAAATAAACCTAATGTATCTTCTCTTGTTTCAAAGATGTAGTATCGCAGAAAGATGCTTCTTGCCCATTCTAGGATTTACTTCAACTCACTCTCCTGCCTCATTGGGGAAAACAAGATTCATTCAAGAAAATGCCCCACCATTTCCCATCATTAAATCCACAAAACCATAAGCCAGAAACCCCACCCACCCACTTCCTCCCACCTATCTCAATGCTCCTGTTAAAGCGAAACTCTCTTCTCTGAACCCCACCACCTTCGGCCCCACCTGCTCAATGAATCTGCTTGGTATGGTCATTTCATTTGCTGTGCTGTCACCAACTCTCTAGCGATCGGGGCATAGGCAGCACAACGTTTGCCTGAAGAGAGCGTCAAACAGGACCTGAGGGTACAGCTCAGTGAGAGAGCACAGGCTTAGGACATACCTTGGGTTCAAGCATCAGTACCAAAGTTAAAAATAAAAGAAACTCAGCAAGCAAACAGTAACACAACTGTTCCCTCCCTCTCCCTCCAGGTACAACTGCAAGTCACTGTTGCTGTGTTTTCATGTAGCCAACAACACAAGCAATGTGATTTTTTTACCTATTCACTCCTATAAGGGTTAATGGCCTTGGTAAGTTTACCAGTGATCTCCATGTGGTCAAATCGTCGTGTGTGTGTGTGTGTGTGTGTGTGTGTGTGTGTGTGTGTGAAAGAGTCAATGCTCTCCTTCCACTGTGTGGGTCTCAGGAATGGAACTCAAGTCGTCAGGTTTGGTGGTAGATGCCTTTACCCAGGGAGCCATCTCGCCAGCCCCCAAAAAAGTCATCTTCAGGAATTTCTTCGGTGTTATAATCAGCATAATACGATGTTGAGTGAGAATTTTTTGGTTGCCCAGAATTGATAACTAAGGTTTAAAATGAAAGAAGACAAGTCGTCTGCACAGACTGATGTGCTGCTGAATTTCCAGCATCTGAAGGCTAATATCCAACTGTCTTCTCCATTTGCACAGCTAATAGATCTTTCATATTGAGTGTGTCTTCCCACACAGGCACAAAAAGAGCTTTTCATTTTGCCTATCAAATTTGTTTCCTTCTGCCATGCAAATAATAGGGTAGTAATTGGTACTATGACCCAACTGCTTAAACAAAAGCTTAGGAGTCATCTATTTTATCTTATTAGCATCAAGAATCCCCAGCCATGTGTGTTGGCACCCATAAGCCCAGCAGTTGAGCGGGCAAAGAAAGAAATGCAAGTCGAAGGCCAGCCTGAGCTACACAGGAAGATTCCATCTCAAAAGATAAAAGGAAGAAAATGGGGCATGTAACTCAGATGGCAGAGTTGTTACCTACCACGCATGAAGTCCTGGGGTGAATCCCTGGCACCGGGTAAAATGAACATGGTGGCACACACGAGTTGAAGGCCAGCCTGGGCTACAGGAGCTAACCCACATAGCCGTCAAGCCCATGCTCTATCTCTGTCTTTACAGTTACTACTCTGGGGTAAACTATTCCTGCGTCTTGCTTATTTTATGTATCATATTTCCAGCTAATTTCTTCTAATACAATTTTACACAAACCCAAATATGTCATCTAGAAGCTAACTAGTCAGGTTATATGTAGTTGCAAAATCTTTACATTTTACTTTAACTATTTCAGAACAAATGACTTCTCAGCAGGATTAAAATGACTCCTTTGCTCATTTAGTTTTCTCAAGATACTGTGGGAAACTCTGGTGAACCATCTATTAGTCAATAACCTCGACAAGTATAGTAATTATAATCAGCCATATCTGCTCCAGTTCATTGATTTTGTTATTTTTCATTTTGAAAAGGAAAATTCCCACCAGACAGTGGCACACATTTTTAATCCCAGCTCTTGGGAGGCAGAGGCAAGTGGATCTACTAAGTTCCAGGACAGCTAGGGCTGTTACACTGAGAAATCTTGTCTCAATAAACAAAAAAAATAAATAAAAGTAAAGTAAAAATTACCAGCACACACCTTTCAAACTGTATTTTTATTTATCAACTGCCCCATCAAGCCCTATACTATATTAATGATATTAATAATCTAGAACATCTTGCATTGGTGCTTCTAAACCTGCTTGAGTGACTTTGAAGCTCACAGTCATTTTCAGAGACATGGAACACCCAAAATGAAATTTACTACTATTATCATTGAAACTTATTTCAATTTTTATTGTTTTTAATTTTTACTTTTATGAGTAGAGAGGTTTTGTCCGCATGTATGTCTATGTATCATGTGAGTGGCCTGGGGCCCACAGAGGTCAAAAGGGGCCATAAGATCCACTGGAACTGGAGTT